GAAAGAAGAGAAGGACAAGGAGGAGAAACCAATTACACGAAACCCGTAACTACTTGTTATCGCACAAACAGGAAGCTGGAACACTTAAAAGAAACACTCAAGTTAAGAAAGATTTCTCAGACATTTGAAACATGTGCATCATTCGTACACGCTACGATGACTAACGATCACTAACGCACACTAACATGCACGCTAACGCAATCGTTGTTAAATGCTTCTTGACACACACAAAAATACATCCTGTTGAAATGGGACCCGTGTCAGGGACCGGGCCGCGGGCGCGATGATCCCCGCCACCAACACAGCCCCGTGAATCTCGTGATGATCTAAATTTACGCTAAATTTAGACTCTAATTCTCACATATAAATGTTTTGTAATTTTTTTAGATTGTGACCTTCTATGCCAATATAGATGGCAGCACTCTCCTTCTAAATTGTTGTTTACAAACTTCGGAACCAGTTTATTCTAATATATACATGCTAATATACCATATGTATATATTCTAATATACCATATGTATATATTCTAATATATACATGCTAATATACCATATGTATATATTCTAATATACCATATGTATATATTCTAATATATACATGCTAATCCGCCCCCTGGAGGCCATGTTGGAGGGACGCCCCCTGGAGGCCGTGTTGGAGGGACGCCCCCTGGAGGCCGTGTTGGAGGGACGCCCCCTGGAGGCCGTGTTGGAGGGACACCCCCTGGAGGCCATGTTGGAGGGTGGCCCCCCTGGAGGCCATGTTGGAGGGTGGCCCCCTGGAGGCCGTGTTGGAGGGACGCCCCCTGGAGGCCATGTTGGAGGGACGCCCCCTGGAGGCCGTGTTGGAGGGACGCCCCCTGGAGGCCGTGTTGGAGGGACGCCCCCTGGAGGCCATGTTGGAGGGTGGCCCCCCTGGAGGCCATATTGGAGGGACGCCCCCTGGAGGCCGTGTTGGAGGGACGCCCCCTGGAGGCCGTGTTGGAGGGTGGCCCCCTGGAGGCCGTGTTGGAGGGACGCCCCCTGGAGGCCATGTTGGAGGGACGCCCCCCTGGAGGCCACTACCGTGACTCACCAACCTAAACATCTCGCAAATTACAACCAAAATATTTATGCAGGACAACAAGCCGCTTTGAGCCGCACTCTACACCGGCCTCCACCCTAGACCGACCTCCACCCTACACCGACCTCCACCCTACACCGACCTCCACCCTACATCGACCTCCACCCTACATCGACCTCCACCCTACACCGACCTCCACCCTACACCGACCTCCACCCTACACCGACCTCCACCCTACACCGGCCTCTACCCTACACCGACCTCTACCCTAGCCGAGACGCGGACATAACCAGAGCAAGGTCGAGGGCCGCCCCGCCCCAATCCACACATGCTTCTCATGGCAGCATATATATATCAACTTCCATAAGACACGTTTTCCTCATTTAATGTTCTAGTCGACAAGATCTTGCCGGTGAGTGATGCTAAGCTACTGGACGGCGGGGGATTACTCGCCTCAGATGGGAGTTAACCGCTCTTTAACAACCAACAAAAGCAAAGGGCTTTTTTGCTTAGCTTTTTTTCCTACATAGACTAGTTGGTTTAAGATAAAAGAAGATGATATTCAGTGATGGCAACAGAGGGAACAAACAGACCAACAGGAGTCAGACAACAGCGCCAAGGAGCGCGATTGGGCCTAAGAATTAAGTCTGAAACAAATTAAAAAAAAACAGAAGGGGGGAGGGGTGATCTGGCAGCTTTAAAGGTGTCATTTAAAGGAAAAATACATTATAAAAAATTCTGTTCTCGATTGAAAAACGTGAAAATAAGATAATGAACAAGAAAACAAGCACTAAGCAAGGAGTTAACTACTCAAAGACACACACACACACACAAGAAGCAGTCCGTAACAGCTGTCTAACTCCCAGGTACCTATTTACTGCTAGGTAACAGGGGCATCAAGTGAAAGAAACTCTGCCCCCCTCTCTGTTTCCACCGGCGCCGGGAAATCGAACCCCGGTCCACAAGACTATGTATCCAGCGTGCTGTCCACTCAGCCATCAACGCCCAGTGTGTGTGGAAATCCCACTAACAAGTTGAATTAGGAGGCAGGCGAACTACACCATAAAACTGAACGATTCTTTTCTGCCACCTGACGTTTATAGGCCTACAACTCTCTTCAGATTAATGAAGACGTGTTGGGCCTCTGTTGTCCGCTTACACCATACTATTACTCTTGTTATACTCTCTCTCTCTCTCTCTCTCTCTCTCTCTCTCTCTCTCTCTCTCTCTCTCTCTCTCTCTCTCTCTCTCTCTCTCTCTCTCTCTCTCTCTCTCTCTCTCTCTCTCTCTCTCTCTCTCTCTCTCTCTCTCTCTCTCTCTCTCTCTCTCTCTCTCTCTCTCTCTCTCTCTCTCTCTCTCTCTCTCTCTCTCTCTCTCTCTCTCTCTCTCTCTCTCTCTCTCTCTCTCTCTCTCTCTCTCTCTCACTCTCCTCTCTCTCTCTCTCTCTCTCTCTCTCTCTCTCTCTCTCTCTCTCTCTCTCTCTCTCTCTCTCTCTCTCTCCCTCTCTCTCTCTCCTAAGATGTTGACGTATACTCAACCTGAGGTCAAAAACTGTCGTACTAGAAAATTTCGCGGCTCGCGAAATTGACGTACTGTCCCGTTTTCTGTTTTGGGTCCTCTGGTAGGTTAGGATAGGGGCACTTTAATACGCCAGTTTCTTGACGTTGGGGACACCTGAGGAAGAGGGCGGGGCTGTGACAACACCTGCCCCCCCCCTGGCTGCAGCGCGGACAGAAGGTCACTTTATAAATAAGAAAGTTGTCGTCCGAGTCTTAAATCACAGGTTAAATATCAGAGGTATTTATGCTTAGTCCCCCCTCCCCCCCCCCCTCAGCTCACCAGGTGACACAAGAGTCCAGCTCACCAGGTGACACAAGAGGAGGTCAAACTACCCAGCATCTAGAGGCATCATAGCTCCGGGGCCCCAACCTCTCCTGATACCATCAGAGGAGGTGTCAAGAGCCGGCGGGAGGCAACTTTCCTCTCATGTTCGGCATTAATATAATGGAGATGGAGGCAGGTGAAGGGCCACTAGGCCAGACGGTCCTTAGTGTTACCTCTCAACTCTCCTACATGTGTGCCGTGCAGGGGACGGGCTCCAGCTCCTGGTTCCGACTTCCCAACGTCACAGTTCGATGCAGTGACTCAATTCTCATGTCTTTTATTTCAAACATATTTACACTTGGAAATTGTAAAATGAATTATACAATTTCAAATGTCAACAGTGTCAAGGAATTTTTCGTGGAACCCAGCCTACTAATTGATGGTTCTTAACACTGAAGAAGTTCTAACATCTCTGAGACTCATTAGCGTCTAGTTCGCTGCATCTCTGGTTCACCTGTTCCTACCTTTTCATGCTAAGGTGTGCTTATGCTGTTAGATTTGGTGTTATGTCTGCTGCCAGGTCTGTCTCCTTTTCTGAGGCAAGAACCTGTTTCTTCTTCACTCTGTACTGCTCTACACGTCTATACACTCTTCTTCCTGTTCTCATCAAATTGCATTTGGCTGGGTTAAATTTTAGCAGCTATTTTTCAGATCACTTCCGGAATATGTTTGGGTCCGTTTGCCGGGAATCACAGTTTGTGGCTCGACTTGTGTTCAGTTCCGCTTCCTCGGCCAACAGTGAACACGAAGGCAACACATCTCTGGCAGTTGTTGACATATTAGAAGTAGCATGTGTAACACCGTAAAGGTGTTTTGTTTAGTTTTATTTAATATTTATTTAGTACTTGAGTCATGCCAGACAAGGATTTGAGAGGCGCCAGTCTGTCGACCTGAATCTCACACCTCTAAGCGTTAATGACCTCAAGTGACCTGAGGTCAGGTCATGCAAATTTCACCTTGCTTCTGCTAATCTGATAAGACCCCAGCACCGCCCCTTGTGGTACTCCACTGGTAACCTCTACCCACTCCTGATATCTTCCCTCCCTTTACCCTTCCTGATGGGTCCTCTCTCTCACCCCCTTAGTGGCTCCTCACCATACACCAGGCTGCTTATCTAGCTTCAGGTTGAGTCCATTGTGGGGAAGGGAGCTATCAGGAGAAAGCGCCAAGCCAATACGACTATATAGCACAGGGAAGGGGTCGGGATAAGGATTTAGGATGGGACGGGGGGAAAGGAATTGAAATTGAAATAAGTTTATTGAGGTAAAATACACACAAAGGGATGAGGTAGCTCAAACTATTCTCACCCCGTTCAGTACATCGTGTTAATACATATATATACACACATCACAAACAATAAACATATTACCAAACATTCTGAGAGATAAACATCTACATTTCAGGGAAAGGAATGGTGCCCAACCACTTGGACAGTCGGGGATTGAACGCCGACGTGCATGAAGCGAGGCCGTCGCTCTACCGTCCAGCTCATTGTGGGGGAGTATCACATGATCTCTGACAGTGTAGGTACAGGACTGTCAGGAAGCATGTGCTCTTGATCTATCTAACTGTAGAACTCAAGTCAGTTTGTCAAGCAGCATTTTCTTGCTTTTAATATGCACCGAAGTTTGGATTCAAGATTTAACTGTTCTAAGGACTCTATTAGTTTCCAACCACTTGGGCTGGACGGTAGAGCGACGATCTCGCTTCATACAAGGTCAGCGTTCAATCTCCGACCGTCTAAGTGGTTGGGCACCATTCCTTTCCCTGAAATGTATATGTTTATTTCTCAGAATGTTTGGTAATATGTTTATTGTTTGTGATGTGTGTATAGTGTATATATATGTATTAACACGATGTACTGAACGGGGTGAGAATAGCTTGAGCTACCTCATCCCTTTGTGTGTATTTTACCTCAATAAACTTATTTCAATTTCAATTTCAATCCATTTCAAGAAAAAGCGTTAAATAGTACGGCAGAGGATTGCACAGTGATTCTGCTACCTCTTTTAGCATCTAATGGAACATCCTGTCTGGTCTTACAGCGTTCGATCACATCAAGTTATTGTAGATGTTGAACTGTTTAAGGCGTCAGTGTCGTTACGGCAGTCCTTCCTGTTAGGGGGGGGGGGGGAGGGTACACTTAGCTGAAGTGGCAGATCAGATATTTGCCTAATGACTTCCTGGAAGTTGTTCTTCCGTTGCCTGCATACTGCTTTATCTCCTACTGCTTTATCTCCTACTGCTTTATCTCCTACTGCTTTATCTCCTGCTGCTTTATCTCCTACTGCTTTATCTCCTACTGCTTTATCTCCTGCTGCTTTATCTCCTGCTGCTTTATCTCCTACTGCTTTATCTCCTACTGCTTTATCTCCTGCTGCTTTATCTCCTACTGCTTTATCTCCTACTGCTTTATCTCCTGCTGCTTTATCTCCTGCTGCTTTATCTCCTACTGCTTTATCTCCTACTGCTTTATCTCCTACTGCTTTATCTCCTACTGCTTTATCTCCTGCTGCTTTATCTCCTACTGCTTTATCTCCTACTGCTTTATCTCCTACTGCTTTATCTCCTACTGCTTTATCTCCTACTGCTTTATCTCCTGCTGCTTTATCTCCTACTGCTTTATCTCCTACTGCTTTATCTCCTGCTGCTTTATCTCCTGCTGCTTTATCTCCTACTGCTTTATCTCCTACTGCTTTATCTCCTACTGCTTTATCTCCTACTGCTTTATCTCCTGCTGCTTTATCTCCTACTGCTTTATCTCCTACTGCTTTATCTCCTGCTGCTTTATCTCCTGCTGCTTTATCTCCTACTGCTTTATCTCCTACTGCTTTATCTCCTACTGCTTTATCTCCTACTGCTTTATCTCCGGCTGCTTTATCTCCTACTGCTTTATCTCCTACTGCTTTATCTCCTACTGCTTTATCTCCTACTGCTTTATCTCCTGCTGCTTTATCTCCTACTGCTTTATCTCCTACTGCTTTATCTCCTACTGCTTTATCTCCTGCTGCTTTATCTCCTGCTGCTTTATCTCCTGCTGCTTTATCTCCTACTGCTTTATCTCCTGCTGCTTTATCTCCTGCTGCTTTATCTCCTGCTGCTTTATCTCCCACTGCTTTATCTCCTACTGCTTTATCTCCCACTGCTTTATCATCCTCCGTGTCTCTCCCTCTCACTATGGTGTGTAGTGTGACCATCTAATCGCTCAAGCATCTTCATCCCTTATAAATGATGGGATGGAATTCCTTCCCTCAGAATCTACACATCATCTAACATCCGAGCCATTAGTGTGCATGACTAGAAACATCTACGCTCCTTGATGCGACAGCACAGACAGCAATATGCCCTCGCAAACACACTATAAACAGACATATACACTAGAAAGCAACAATATCTTCCTACCCCAACACAAACACTGTTCATTCTCATAGATTCGTGGCCTGATCATGTGCCAAGTGTGGCCCCCCTCAGAGAGCTACACCCCCCTTCCCTACACCCTCACACACCCCACACACCATACACACACACCCACACACACACACACACACACACCATACACACATACACACACACACACCCTCACACACCAAGACACACAGGAAGCCTGGCCCCACACAACACTCCTGCCTCTCACCCGGCACTCCACCTCCCACTTATGTGCAGATACGTATCTGTGCTATCTGGCTACTGTTAGTAAACAGTTGAGAGCTTCTCCTTAACATGGGGGGCGTGTACTGCTGCAGCTGTAAGTCCAGGGGTGCTACTGACAGCAGCTGGTGCAGTAAGTCCAGGGGTGCTACTGACAGCAGCTGGTGCAGTAAGTCCAGGGGTGCTACTGACAGCTGCTGGTGCAGTAAGTCCAGGGGTGCTACTGACAGCAGCTGGTGCAGTAAGTCCAGAAGTGCTACTGACGGCAGCTGGTGCAGTAAGTCCAGGGGTGCTACTGACAGCAGCTGGTGCAGTAAGTCCAGGGGTGCTACTGACAGCAGCTGGTGCAGTAAGTCCAGGGGTGCTACTGACGGCAGCTGGTGCAGTAAGTCCAGGGGTGCTACTGACAGCAGCTGGTGCAGTAAGTCCAGGGGTGCTACTGACAGCAGCTGGTGCAGTAAGTCCAGGGGTGCTACTGACGGCAGCTGGTGCAGTAAGTCCAGGGGTGCTACTGACAGCAGCTGGTGCAGTAAGTCCTGGGGTGCTACTGATCAGGCTCGTTAAAGCAGCGGCCTTCCCCCCCCCCCCCCCCAAGTCGCATTCAGTAATTGTCACATATTGTGTATTAATTAAAAATGGCTCTGTTCTCACATATAAAGTAATGCTGTTATATAATGAGAGGTTTGTGTATAGTTAGGCGTAGGTTAGGTTAAACGCCTAGGTTCGAACACCGCCCGACTTCGAACACCGCCCGACTTCGAACACCGGCCGACTTCGAACAGCGGCCGAGTTCGACTTGGTCCTTCGTCACCAGTACCTCGCCCCTTACAAGTATATACCACCTTGCCTCACACTGCCTCCTGCCTCAGCTTCCTCGTCAACTTACCTGAAACAAAGAGAAAGAAAATATTAGTATTGCTCAATTTAATGTCTCAATTGAGTACTATACCGAATATATAGGCAGAATAGAACCAGTGAAAAACACTGTATAAACATCAGAGGTCCGCGGTTGTTCAACACCCTCCCAGCGAGTGTAAGAAATATTGCCGGGACAACCGTGGACATCTTCAAGGGGAAACTAGATCATTTTCTCCAAGGAGTGCCGGACCAACCGGGCTGAGGTGGGTATGTGGGCCTGCGGGCCGCTCCAAGCAACAGCCTGGTGGACCAAACTCTCACAAGTCAAGCCTGGGCCAAGGGCCGGGTTTGGGGAGTAGAAGAACTCTCAGAACCCCATCAAGGTACAATCCAGGTACATACCAAGACGCTCTTGGAAGAACCGTGAAGACAAGGCAGGTAAACATATTGTGCCCCCGTAGCTGATAGACATTGTAAGTTACGAACGTGATAGACATTGTAAGCCATGGACCTGATAGACATTGTAAGCCACGGACCTGATAGACATTGTAAGCCACGGACCTGATAGACATTGTAAGCCATAGACCTGATAGACATTGTAAGCCACGGACCTGATAGACATTGTAAGCCACGGACCTGATAGACATTGTAAGCCACGGACCTTATAGAAATTGTTAGCCATGGACCTGATAGACATTGTATGCCACGGACCTGATAGACATTGTAAGCCACGGACCTTATAGAAATTGTTAGCCATGGACCTGATAGACATTGTATGCCACGGACTGCTGTCAAAATCTTCACTGATGAAGACTCCTGTCAAGATATATCTCCCTCATTTCCCTGTAGTGTTGACCATTGACACCCTCGACCACATCATGGGTGTGGTCGTCAGAATGTGACGCCAGCCACACTCTTCCCTCTTGAATTCAGGCGATCTCGACCATCCTATGACCGTCCCATAGGTCGACTTTCACAAGTCGAGCCTGGCCTCGGGCCAGGCTTGGGGAGTAGAAGAACTCCCAGAACCCCATCAACCAGGTATCATACAGGTCCCGAACCCCCAAACCATCCCCCCTGCAAAGTTGGGAGAGACTAGCCCCAAGCCTCTCCCCTCTCCTTCGACCTTGGGACAGACAGACAGAGAGACAGACAGGCATTATGTCTTACAGATATAGACTACCCTTGCCAATGTTCTCCAAAAATAGGATACGAGCATAACAAATGAATAAAACCCGTCAGCGGTAACAAGCTTAGTATTATAACAAGGTTAAGTATTATACAAAGCTTAAGTATTATACAAAGCTTAAGTATTATACAAAGCTTAAGTATTATACAAAGCTTAAGTATTATACAAAGCTTAAGTATTATACAAAGCTTAGTGTTATTGCCAGCACAACGGAGACCAACTAATCAAGCAATTTTCCGCTTTGTTTAGTCCTTATTAACTCCGTCTGTCTGTCTGTCTGTCTCTCTCTCTCTCTCTCTCTCTCTCTCTCTCTCTCTCTCTCTCTCTCTCTCTCTCTCTCTCTCTCTCTCTCTCTCTCTCTCTCTCTCTCTCTCTCTCCCAAGACGGCTTATTCAGTCCCCTGACTCCTTACCCCCCCCCAGGGTGGGGCTCCTCCCACCACCCACTGTGCATTGCTCTATCTCTAATTATTATTTAATCCGTGCTAGACTCTGGAGTATGCAAATGTCTATATTACTCATCTTAGTTGCAAGTTGTGCTGCTTCATCTGCATCGTCATTTCCTGCTATTCCCACATGACTCGGCGCTCAGTTGTCGTGTAGTCGACGACCTTGACGTTTGAGTGTTTGAATTAATGCTAAAACATTTGTGGTTAGATGGATTGTTATCATTTACACGTTCTTGTTGCACACTTGTTCTTGTTGTACAAGAACACCGAGAACAACAGTTCTCGAGTCTGTATGTAGGTTATCGGTGTTCAGAGGTATTTGAATAGCTAGCGTCCCTGTTTGTAAAGTTGAGCACCCATTAGAGAGTCTTCCACTATATATAGAATATCCTGGGGGGTCTGGAGTGGACAGCGCTTCGGATTCGCAGTCCTGAGGTCCGGGTTCTATCCCCCGGTGGAGACGGAAAGAAATGGGGCAGAGTTTCTTTCGCCCCGATGCTCCTGTTCATCTAGCAATAAAATAGGTACCTGGGAGTTAGACAGTTGCTATGGGCTGCTTTCTGAGGAGGGGAGGGGGTAACAAAAAGGAGGCCCTGGTCGAGGACCGGGCCGCGGGGGACGCTAAGCCCCGAAATCATCTCAAGATAACTCAAGATCACCTGCTTTAATCCTTCTTGATACCTGGTTGATGGGGTTCTGGGAGTTCTTCTACTCCCCAAGCCCGGCCCGAGGCCAGACTTGACTTGTGAGAGTTTGGTCCACCAGGCTGTTGCTTGGAGCGGCCCGCAGGCCCACATATCCCCCACAGCCTGGTTGGTCTGCTTTAACTGCAGTTCCAGATCCTTCCCTGGAAACACAAACCGAAACTGTCTCTATTTTCCGCTTATTAAAACTTGTAATAAAGTTGTTACATCTTGGCTTAACGTGTTTATGACGTATTAGAACGTTGTTACAACTTGCTATATTGGTTGTTATAACTGGTTAGGTGTTAAAACTTGTTCGAACGTTGTACCAACGTCGTAGTTTCGGTGTGTGTTTGGCGAATTGTCTCTTCTGGTCTACTAGTCTTTCCGTGAAGCATCTCAGGCCCTCAGATACCAAGGGTGCTTCAATTCTTCTCTCCCATGAGGCCTATCTTGAGGTTATCTTGAGATGATTTCGGGGCTTTTTTTTAGTGTCCCCGCGGCCCGGTCCTCGACCAGGCCTCCACCCCCAGGAAGCAGCCCGTGACAGCTGACTAACACCCAAGTACCTATTTTACTTCTAGGTAACAGGGGCATAGGGTGAAAAAAGAAACTCTGCCCATTGTTTCTCACCGGCGCCCGGGATCGAACCCGGAACCACAGGATCACAAGCCCAGCGTGCTGTCCGCTCGGCCGACCGGCTCGAGCAGATACGAGGGAGTAAGGGCATTGGGGTTAATCTGACTGTTTTTCTTTGTAGAGCCATGATCTTAAAGTGTGCTGGCAAGGACGACTAGGCCGGCGCGTTAGCATCAATCCCTGGCGTCAGTTAGTGTCTCCCAACAGTAGAGACCATTGTTTCCCCTTCATTAAGACATCTTATCACCCGTCTACAAAACTCCCCGGAATTCCCATACATTGTCTGGCCAAAGATAAACCAACAATCTATTGATTCCTTTTTTTTGTTACGAATGGCGTGTTGACTTTAGGGGTCGTCATAAGCCTAAACAACAGCAGAGTGAAAATAAATTTTGAAGATGTGAACTTCGTCTACCATTTGTTTTTTCTCTCATTAAACTTCTTTGGGGATATCCGTGAGCCATAAATTTCCAGTCAGAGTTTACACATTGGTTGGAACAATAAATACCTGTTTCTACGTCCCCAGTTCCCTAGTGGGATTCTACAGTTCTGACCTTAAGACAGTTAACATGCTCTCCAATCACAGCTGATACACACACACAGAAATCACACTAACGTGATATATATCAATGATAAAATTATTGATATATATCAATGATAAAATTATTGATATATATATCAATGATATAATTATTGATATATCAATGATAAAATTATTGATATATATATATC